GGCCCAGCTGCTCCGCGGCACGTGGGGTCTTCCCGGACCGGGGCACGAACCCATGTCCCCTGCATCGGCAGGGGGGGGGGGGGGGGCGGTGAGTGGGCAGCAAGCTAAGCGCAGGCGCCCCCTTGGGGGCAGGGGAGCTTCCATTCTCCAGGCACAGGTGAGGGGGAGGCCACGCCCACAGAGGGCCGGCGTCAACCAGCACGCCTACCTTGCTGGGGGCCCTTGAAAGGAAGGAAAATGGTTAGGGTTGGAAAAGGAGAAATCAATGTACATCCGCTTTTATATTGTTTCTGCTAAAAATTCGTTAGAATACTTACTGAATTCCAATTTTTAGGATCAGTTTTGCCCTTTTTTTTTTTTTTAGTTTTCTTAACTGAATCCCTCCTCTGCATAATCCAGTGGTTTTTTCTCTTCCATTGGGAATTGAATGCACTGAATTAGAAAGAATTGCTGAGAGTGTAATGATTACTTTGTAATAAGTTACAATATGCAATTAGTCTTCTTATCACAATGAAACCTTACTTTGTTCACTTAAAAATTAGGTAGTTATTTTGTCAAAATAAGGATATCTGTAAAGAGACATTTAGCAGCGCCTACGAGACTTAAAACAACTATTATTTTTTTTAAACAAATGAAAATGAATTTCCAGCTGGTGAGATCTCAGTAGGCCTGTAGTCTGGTTAATTGTGTTATGTCCCATTGATTTCCTGGTTGCCATCATGCTCCATGATGTGTCGGGTGTCCCAAAGGGGAAGCTGAGTGATGGGATGCAGGGCCTCTCTGTACTACCTTTGGTTCTTCTTGTGAGTCTGAGATTGTTTCAAAGTGAAGAGTTAGAAAAAAGACATTTCCATTTGGGGGTCAGGGTTGGGGGATGGCTACAGTGTTTTTTTAACTGGTTTGTTTTATTTGTTTTTGTAAGAAAAAATAGCACCTGTAAACTCAGCTTAAGTATTGATATTCTGGGATTTTTATGGCTACAAGCGACCGATGTTGGAATTGATGTTTAATGGTTTTGCTGGTTTTCACTAATGGCCTGGGGACGTTCCTGCCTCTGTCTCGTGCATCTTGAAGCTGTTGTCTTTGATCACACCCTTATTCATCCATTTTGCAGGGCAATCTACAGATACACCACGTGGGACAAGATGGGCAGGTAAGTGCTCACCTGCGGTGGATCCCAGCGTGGCAGGAGCGGGAGCGTTGGGGGACACACGGAGACACACGGGGGTGGGGCATGTGGACGGCGGGGCCCTGGGCTGTTGTGCGGCAGCTGTCTGTTAGAATAAGGCAGGTTTCGTTCCCGTTCATTGCTGTCAAACTCCAACCACTGCCTTTTTTTCTGGTCCTGAGAAAAAGACCCTGAAACCCTCATTGAGCTCACCTGATATGAACTGTCTACAGAGTGAAGCGCCCGGCTGAGGCGTTCTAGGGGTGATTTGCTTTCTAAGATGGAGTGAAATTGCTGGTGAATTCGAGGATTGACATTTTCACGTCCTCATGAAGAGTTTCTGTTAAAGAGATGTTTATAACCTGAATAATTATGCAAGAGAGTCTGGAGGATCTTCCTTTTTTATAAAATGTAACTTAGGAATCATGAACATGGAGCTCAGTCACTATCAAGATAACCATAGGCGTTATTCTCAGAGCCGAGTGCACGCTCCCTTCTGGCACACTGTGTGCGCTTCCCATCTCCTCGGCGAGGGCCTCGTGTCTGCCACAAACGGTCATGCAGGGTGTGCGTTGCTGGACTCGAAACCAAGGACGACACGCCCCGAGGGTTTCCCATTGAGCCCTCGGAGCGCCTTGGGACTAGTGCGATGTTCAAGTTGGGCTTCGTTGTTGAGACTGTCATCTTGAACGTACACATGAGGTTCTAATCAAAATCCTAAAGCAGTATTAACGTACAAAAATAGCTGCCGTGGCAAAAAGCCAAAGAATGGCAGAATTTTAAAAGCTGCGCTGAGTTTTAACCTTAGTTAAACCTCTTCCTTAGCATCCTTCTCAGGGCTTTTACTCCAGCTCAGGAAAGCTGGGGACTCTTTGTCACTTGAGCATTGAAGCAAAACCTCTGATTTCCCAGAGTTGTGCTTGTAGTGTTCTCTGCTGCTGCTGGTGAGGTGGCCCAAGGTGACCCGGCAGCCTGGGGAGGGGTGTCGCTTCTGGGCAGCTGTGTTTGCTTGCCTTTCCGTTGTGCTTTCGGGGAAGGTGTAGGGAGAGGCGCCCTGTCCTGGAGGGTCGGTTACAGCGGGGAGCAGCGCAGGGGCGTCGAGCCGGCCTCTGCCAGCGGGAGGGCGGCCTTCGCCATACTGCAACATGGGCCCCGCCACCCACGTTGGGCCTCACATACCGCGATCTGCCGCTTGCGTCTGTTGGAGCAGATTAAGGGTTGAGGGGCCCCCCAACCCCCAGGTAGGCCCTGTGAGGCTAGGCACTCAAACCCAGGGTGGAGGGGTGAGGGTGGCGGAGAGGAGAGCATGGGGCTTAGAGGTGAAGCTCCAGTTGGGCTGAGAGCACGGGTTCCGGTTACTGGAAAAATGTCCCAGTCACACTTCTCACCCAGTCCCTGTCCAGTGGAGTGACAGTCATGATCGGATGCTGAGATGCCTCAGCATCTCAGTGAGGCTTGTTCCTCTCCCTGACCCGGACGTCGAGTTGGCCGAGTGTAGACAGAACAGTCCCCAGAGGGTTCCATCGGTCAACAAGGCCGCACGCGAGGTTCATGTCGGGTTCACTCTGGCAACACGTGCTTTCTTGGCTTTGCCGCTTTATGTGTTAGAGATGTTTGTGAGGTTATGTGGACATTTTTAACCTTAGCAAGATGTTTACAAATTTTTAAATGAATTGTACAGGATTAGAATTTGACCTGGTTTGGTGCATTAATTAAGAATGATGTGATGAAAAACACGTTTAGGGAGCAGTAAATTGTGCCTTGTGTCCCTTTAGCACAGCGTCTGTCCTTCTGCTGAGATCTTTCCGCGCATTGTCCATAAATCCTTGCCTTCAGTCACACAGCAGTTTGCCTTTCACGCCTGGAGTCTGGCTGCCTCCAGGGCTGTGCTGGCCTGATGTTCTGCCCCTCGAAATGCAGGCTGTTTTGGGGGGAAAGTGATGGTCTGTGTTCAAGCAAAAAGATGCTGCCCTTCGAAAGGAGCGGACACGTCTGCCCGCCGTCGTGTGTGTGGGCAGCGGGGGCCTGGCTGCGGGAACGGTGCCGTTAGCCTCCTGTGCTGTTGGCTGGCAGGCAGGCCCCAGAGCTTGTGGACGGAGCAGTCACTTCAGTTGGGCTCGTCTCTGGGGAATCGGGTCATGGGGCCCCTTTCAACCGTTAAGGTTTGAATTTGAGCCTCCAAAGTGGGGCCTCTGTGAGTCCAGCCAACAAATACTGGGCCTTGGACCCCAGTGGGTGCTTGGTGAGCTGCTCTCCCCACCCTGTGGTTGCCGGAGGAGCTTTTCCAGGTGAGGAGGGTTCCCCTCTGGGGGAGACGGGGGGCACCCCGAGCTGGGGCCACTGCTCCCCGGCCGGCTTTCCCTCGTCCCAGCTCACCGGTGGGCCAGGTAAACCCGGCTCTGGCTCCAGGTCTGTGCGCCCTCCTTAGAGCTCAGAGGTGCACTGAGAGTGTGAGTCTGCCTTCGGGCCTCGAGAGGCGGCCTCACCGTTTCCATCCCGACTCCTCCTGGCCGTGCATGGGGCAGCAGGGTCGGGTGTGGGACAGCCCCACCACGTGCAGGGTGCGTTCCCATCTGATGTTGTGCATAGGCGCGTGGCAGGGCCTCCCTGCCTATCCCAGACACCCACCTTTCCCCACCACGGTTCTGTCTTGTTTCTGCTCGCTTCCAGGCCCTTAACGCACCACGATGGGTTCTGTCCTGCTTCAGCTGCTCACGGCCGGGGCCGGGTGACTTTGCAGTAATGCGTGACAATTTCGGGGTGCTTTCTCTTCACACCGCAGGACTGTGTACTGTCGATAACTGTCTGAATTTGACCCCAGTCAGCGGGGTCCCCGGGTGCTGGCAGCAGCAGGTGCTGGGACTTCAGGGATCTGACCCTTAGGAAGGGCAGGGAAGGCTGAGGGTGATGCTCTCAGGCCGGGGACTGGTTCCCATGGAACCACAGCGCCTCCTGGCTTCTCGGAAATCACCTGAGACTCACACAGTGGGCTCTCTGAATTTGCATGGTGAATTTTGGGTAAAAACGTGGCCATGTCTTTAAAGGGAAGATCTGGATATTCAGTTTAGACAGCAAGAGGTACAGGCTTTGGTTCTGATGAATTTGATGTGGTTGAAGATTTAGCCAACTCAAAATAATCTTTCTGATTCCTCTAGTCAGTTGGAGGAAAAGCAAAATAATCTTACTCAGTTCAGGAGGTGGCAGTGCAGCTGTGGGACTAAATCTGCAAGTACAGGCGTTACACGGGAGGTGAACTCTGAGAACTGGAGGAAAGAAGTGGCCGAAAGAGGACGTTTGCTCTGGAAATGCTCTCAGTGTCACACTGGCTTCCAGGAGGCAGATGGTGGTGGGGAAGCGGTGGGCATCCTCCTGGCGGGAGGGGCTGTGGGTCCGGGCAGGCCCTGCTCTGTGGCCGGGCCCTGTGGGGTCACAGGTGCTTCATGTCAAAGCCACACGTCTCCTGGGACGTGTGCGTGTGATTTATTCTTTCCCTCTCACTTCTCTAGAGGCCACTGTTCTTGGGGGTCGGGTTGTCTGAGGCGTCGAAGTGTGTTGTTTCACTTCGAGCTTCACGTCTGGCCCCTCAAGTGAAGACCACTGCTGAGGAGGGAGTGGGTGTGGGGCCGAGCATGTCTGTCACGTCCACGAGTGTGGTCCCCGCGTTGGGTTCATCTGGGTAATTCAGGAAGATTCCGAGGGGACACACGCAGTGACACAGACGAGGCGCTGCCTCTGCTCCATCTCCTGGCTGTTCTGCTTTGAGTGTTCTGAGCTGCTCAGCGTGCGTGAGTTCAGGGGAAGCAGGGTGAGCGCCTCATCTCGGCTCGGTCGTGCTCAGGGGACAGCGGCTGGCAGTGAGACCGTAGGATTGGGGACCCGCGTTGGCGCCGGCCTTTTGGCACAGAGCCATCTGGCTCTGAATCTGCCCCGGTTAGAGCCAGTCCCGAGCCAGTCACCCTTCAGCTGTGTAGACGAACGCATGCCGGGAACCACGAGCTTCATTGTGAGGCTGTGAGCACTGGGGCGCATCCCTGTGCTGCTGGTCTAATCGTCACCTGGTTGCAGCCATCCCTTGCTGTACGACCCCCGCCCCCACCACCAAATTTGGGGCCAGAGAAGACAATCAGTTATTATGCTTGGGGCTTCCCTAGTGGTGCAGCAGTTGAGAATCCACCTGCCAATGCAACGGACACAGGTTCGAGCCCTGGTCTGGGAAGATCCCACATGCCGTGGAGCAACTAAGCCCGTGCGCCACAGCTACTTAACCTGTGCTCTAGAGCCTGCGAGCCACAACTACTGAATCCCGCACGCCACAACTACTGAACCTGTGCTCTAGAGCCCTTGAGCCACAACTACTGAGCCTGTGTGCCACAACTACTGAAGCCCGCGCGCCTAGAGCCCGTGCTCCACAACAAGACAAGACACCACAATGAGAAGCCTGCGCACCGCAACGAAGAGTAGCCCCTGCTCGCCACAACTAGAGAAAATCTGTGCACAGCAATGAAGACCCAACACAGCCAAAAACAAATAAATTAAAAAAAAAAAAATTATTACCCTTCACCATTCGGGGTTCACCGGGCCCAGCTGGAGGAGGTGGTTCTGCCACGTCATGTCACCGGGCCGTCTGGAGGCTCGAGGCTGCCCTGTCCAAGGGATCCCTCCCGGGCCTGGAGCTGGGCTGTGCCCCCAGCCCCTCGGTTCTCCATGAGGGCTCTCCCAGTGGCCCAGGGCCTCACATCACGGTGGCAGGGTCTGCGGGGCGGATGTCACCAGCTTTTGAGAGCTGGGGTGCAGACGTGCAGGCCCCACGGTGACCACGCTCCTGAGGGTGGCGTGGGATGTCCACGCCGTGTTCTGAATGCAGAGGATGTTGCCGGCAAAGGGGGACGTGACATCTCTCGGCCTCCATCCTGGGCCCGGCGTGGCTTGACCGTGAGCTCCTGAAGGGCAGGGCCTGTGTCCTTCACAGGGAGGCAGGGGCCTGC